ATACTGGGACCAGAGAGGCCGAGTGGACTGGTTAAACTGGGCTCAAGAGTTGGAGGGTGCCTTTCAGACAAGTGAGTACAAGCAACGCACCGTGCAAATGACAATTTGTTATCAGCTTTGTTGATGTTTTATTCTACTGTTGATTCTATAATAAGTTGCTTGTGCCATGGTGTCGTTTTGTGTATTGTCGATCATTTTTGTTTAATTGTCTGTCTGAGTTTTGTCCTTTTTTGGGGGTTAATTCTTGTGAGGCTGCAGAGTGCCCAACTAATGCACGGAAGGAGTCTTGATGCTGATGGTTATTGCTTACAGATCAAATAAATATAACTATCAAGACAAAACGCAGTAGTTAAGAAGAAAACAACAGATTATCTCATATTTTAAAGAATCGGTCCAAAAGCAACAAACAGAATGGGTTATTCTCCCTTTGGTGGGAGAAACGCATTATTTTAAGGAGAAAATTGCTATGATCTTCCTTTTGGACACAGACGGATTGTTTCCTTTGAACATTGTGAAATGTGACCACCATGAAATGGAGACAAATATCCTTTGTAGATTTAATAACAGGGCTTACTGATGCATCAATCGGTGCTGTGTAGGATAGAAAAGAGTTTCTCACTATTTCCAAAATCCTAGAGGTGCTATTTAGCGGTGATTAGCTTTCCTTATCCCCTCATACATCATCCTTCACCTAGCTGTGTAACAATATTGCAGGAGACAGCCAATATGATATAGGAGATTAAAATGACATTCATGATGTTAATTTATTCCAATCCAATATCTGATAAATAAATACAACTTTAAGCTCCTATCTGCCATAATGCATTTCAATGCCCCAGCACTCATCTTTTTATGCTCACCTAAAGGCTTTGCTGTATGCATGACCTTGACTGGAGTGTCCAAGAAACGGAGGGTATTGATTGAACTGTGTGCGCATCTCAGCCTTCATGGATTTGTCAGATGGGTCTTTAGAGTGGAGAAAGGCGTTTGGACACTTGGAAACTGGTCTAAATCTTCATTGAACCTCTGTAGAGCCAGAGCACTCATGGTGCAATGATCAATCACAAACTTTGAGCACATATGCCTAAACTGTCCTTTTAGTTTCCATCCCTTCAGATATTCTATATGTGTACATATTCTGCATGTGTCTTTAAAGTTGTTTGACCATCTACACCAGATTCACACAGATAGTGATTGGTAGGGACAGCCGCCATGCTGGACTTGTATTGTGCTGAGTTGCTGCTGCTTCCCAACAACTGCCCTTACCGGGATTCGAACCCAGGCCACTCCTAATGGCTGGACCGTATGGGAGCTACTGCTCACAACGGGTTAGCTTGATTGGTAACGGCTATCCTGTGTCTTTCCAAAGGTAACAAAATCCACCTAGCTCTTTTAAAGCCCCCTACGCAACAACCTGTATCGTGTTTGTTTGCACAAATACTGAACTCTCTGCTATAACACCAATTCAACGCTTTATGGTACGTAATGTGGCCGTCTATTTCTTAGCTGGGACTAGTTTCAACAACCAGTGGTAAAAAGAAATCCAGCATAAAACAATACTGTCTTTTAATATGCTTTTACACTTAATTGTTTTGCTTTAGACCTTTTTAGAGGTGCTGGTAGGCAAATCCTGTCATCGTTAGACAGGGCCAGGCTATAGTCTGTATGCTAAGCTACAGTAACCTGCAGCTGGTCCAGCTTTATATTTACCGTGAAGAAAAAGAAAGTGAATGCTAGAGGACTTATGCATTGGCTACTCTGCACTTAATAAAGTTCGGGAAAAATTGTTCCAATAAGGTACTCTGAGGTACTTGTCCCTGAGTGGAAATGTTGCTTAGGCAAAAGTGCTTCAAACAGCTGCAGTGATCTACAGTATGATGGATCAGAATCAAAGAGATGCTCCCCTGTCAGTATGCCGCCATTTGGCGAGGCAGGACCGTAATTAGCAGAAAATGAGAAATGTTCATCTCTCACTGGATACTGCTGATGCTTAACAATATCTGGCTCGCCCTGATTAGCATAATTTCTCAAGAGAATGAAACAACGGATGAGTCAGATGATGGAGGAGTAGAGGTATAGAGGAAAACATGCCGGAGGAAAGATCAGAAGGATGCTATTGTGCTTCCTACTATTAGTCTCAGGAGAAAGGATTTTGATTCCACACTTAACATTGCTTTGAACCACAGTTAAGGAACTCTGCCAGCCCTGTAGCCGTGCTCGACGTTCTCTGGGTTATACATTATTATATTATAAGTATTTGGATCAGGAATAGATGGCTGTGTTTCTCAGAAAGAACCTAAATCCTCTTCAATTAGTAAATGGTTTTAATGAGAAATTTAGTCGAATAAAATTGTGATGTCTATAAAAATAAAGTATTACATTATTAAATAAATCAATACAACTTCCTTGTCATGACAAGTGACTGACATTAAAGTGTCATTGGGGGAAATTGCCAATATGAAATGAAAACTGACTTTAAAAATTAATAATATTTCATAATAATTAATTTGATTGTCAACATAATAATTGAGCATTGATAATTTATTAAATTATTCACAATGTATTGGTTTGTATGTTGTATAGCTTTAAGCGGAGAAAAGCTATCCAAACTATGGTATGACTTTCCTGACCTCTGGAAGGCTGGTGACCACTGGGAAATTATGGTTGAATCTTTGTAATAAGCACATTAGGCAAAATGTGCTGCAGCATCATAAATGGCAGACTTCTTAATTTTTCAAATTTAAAACAAAACCTTGTGGAGAAGACTTCTTAAAACACAAAACATCTGCCAGAAAGAACACAGCTGTCTGTTAAAACTTGTCTTTAAACATGATCTGAGCAGATACAGATATGTGTGTATGTATGTCTATATAAAGTATATTTTTTCAGGTTACCAATTTTCATATAAATAATTGTAGAGCTTCTGTATTTTCATCTTACATTATTCTGTTTAATCACAATTTGTCATTTTATTACTTTTTCTGGAATGGCAATAACCATTTCTGCAAATTAAGCCCAGGTGTGTGTGTGTGTGTGTGTGTGTGTGTGTGTGTGTGTGTGTGTGTGTGTGTGTGTGTGTGTGTGTGTGAGAGAGTGTGAGAGAGAGAGAGAGAGAGAGAATCGGGGCAGAGATGTTTGCTTCATGGCGTTTCCATGCTGCTGAGCTCCTTTCGGAGATCCCCCGTCATTCCTAATGAACAAGACTATTACTCAGACTAAAATAAGTTGTCACCCTGTTGGATCCATGTTACTATTCACTCGTCTCGTCAGTGCATTCGCGATGAGTGTGTGCGTCTGTGTCGGCAACCTGACGACCCCCCCCTTTGAATCCCATTTGAAACGCAGCAAAATTCCCCTATTTACGAAAACCTGAACATACGAACTTCTTGTCCATCTTTCTTTTGTTCAAACTGAGCTTTGATTCATGAGTTGAGACTAACAGGGATTCCCTTGACAAAGGAGATGCAACACCATTTACAAGTGAAATTAAATATTGATTCACTTTATCGTCGCTCCCCCCCCCCCACAAGGAGCTGGGCTTTCGAGTGGCTTTGTTTTCATTCTGATTATGATGACATTTTATCAATGTATGTCACTCCAAGCGCGGCTGCAGATTACATCACTGTCTTCTTATCTGACCCTTGATGTAACGTCATCTGGCTCCCGGGCTTTGCCTTTTAGCCTTTCCCTGTCAGAGAATACACACACACCTCTAATAGCCAATCCTTACTTCTCTATCGACACTTAATGCAGAGCAAATACATTTTCAGTCGGCTAAATGGACACTGTCTGCAAGAAAAAGTAATATACGTGAGCTGTGTGTTTACACTGATGTTGGCCATTGCTATTGCTATGGTTCACTATGGACTGAAACCATAACCCCCCCCATAAGGGAAAATATGTCTGTGTCTGGTCACCAACTGCTTGCTTTGCCGAACACACTTTCATGTCCATTAGCTACACACAGATGCATTGAAATTCAATCAAGCTGTTTACCTCAAGGCCTGATGCAACAGAATGTAATTGAATCTACACCTGGTGGAAATTATCTTGCATTATGGTAATCGCGTTGAAATACCTTTTAACTTTGCATCATTAAATCTGACGCCAATCGCCCCTGTGCAGATGTGAAAAGTAACTTGGTGACTAAGTGCAACAACTGGAGTACCGGTACATTCTTGTCACTGCCGATTAACAGTACTTTTCAAAGTGTATATTTTTATTTAATCATAAATGCAATAAAAATGTTTTAATTCAATTAAAATTGAACTGAGCATACAGTAAAGCTATTTTAAGATGCTTATCATGTTATACAGAATAGGCACTGTCCTCATTGTGGCCCAGACACTGGTTTCTTGCACTTTTCATTATTTAAATTTTTTTGTCAAACTATTCCCAGGTCCAATAATTAACGTTCACACTGAAATTGATAAAGTGTTTGGTATAGTTCATAACTATACATCAGCTTTAAAAACTATCCATACTGTATTTTTTTAGTATGTAAAGGTAACATAAAACCAACCTGCAGTTAAGTAATGAAGTAAATGTACTCCGTTACATCCTACCACTGGCCTTAATCCTGTCTCTAGCCCATGTGAATCAATCAATCAATCAATCAATCAATCAATCAATCAACAACGTACTCTGTTATTTCCTTTATTCAGGCAAACATTTGTCTCAGGATGTTTAAATATCACAGTCTGTTTTGG